ATGGAATTGATAGTGAGTAACTGGGAAGGATAGAATGGATAGTGAGTAACTAAAAAGGATGGAATTGATAGTGAGTAACTGGGAAGGATAGAATGGATAGTGAGTAACTAAAAAGGATGGAATTGATAGTGATTAAATGGGAAGGATAGAATGGATAGTGAGTAACTGGGAAGGATGGAGTGGATAGTGAGTAACTAAGAAGGATGGAATGGATAGTGAGTAACTGAGAAGGATGGCATGGATAGTGAGTAACTGAGAAGGATGGAATAGATAGTGATTAGTTGGGAAGGATGGAGTGGATAGTTAGTAACTGAGAAGGATAGAATGGATAGTGAGTAATTGTGAAGGATGGAGTGGATAGTGAGTAACTAAGAAGAATGGAATGGATAGTGAGTAATTTTGAAGGATAGAATGGATAGTGAGTAAATTAGAAGAATGGAATGGAAAGTGAGTAACTAAGAAGATGGAATGGATAGTGAGTAGCTGAGATGAATGGAGTGGATGGTGAGTAACTAAAAAGGATGGAGAGTGAGTAACTGAGAATTGGATGAAGTGGATAGTGAGTAACAGAGAAGGATTGAATGGATAGTAAGTAATTGGTAAGGATTGAGTTGATAGTGAGGATCTAGAAGGATGGATTGTGAGTAACTGAGAAGAATGGAGTGGATAGTGAGTTACTAAGAAGGATTGAGTGGAAAGTAAGTAATTGGGAAGGATGGAGTGGAGAGTAAGGCTAATATGGATGGAGTGGATAGTGCAGAGTAACTGAGAAGGATGGAGCGGATAGTGCAGAGTACAGGGTGTCCCACGAAACATGACAGTATGCAGGACGACTTGAATGTCGTCTTGATTTTTGATACAATTTGCTGCGTTTATTTGTCAACCTAATTTTAGAAGTAAATTTCTAGAGATAATAATCACAAAATTTCCCTTGTCCTGCCATTTCCAAAATGTGGTCTGCCTTTTTTGTGCTTTCAATATTGCCCGAGATATGAAGAATTTCGTTCAGAATTCGACAATTTTGCTTTTATTTAACAAAATTGAAATCTGAACCAAACTCTTTATATCTCAAGTAATATTGAAAGCACAAAAAACGCAGACCACTTTTTGGAAATGCCAGGGCTAGGAGAATTATGTGATAATTGTTTCAAGAATCATACATGTTAAAGTAGATAGAAGACTAAATGTCACAAATAAATTCAAATACCAAAGACGACTTTCAAGTCGTCTTGCTATTGTCATGTTTCGTGGGACACCCTGTATCTGAGAAGGATGGAGCGGATAGTGCAGAGTAACTGAGAAGGATGAAGCGGATAGTGCAGAGTAACTGAGAAGGATGGAGTGGATAGTGCAGAGTAACTGAGAAGGATGGAGTGGATAGTGCAGAGTAACTGAGAAGGATGGAGTGGATAGTGCTCGAGTAACTGAGAAGGATGGAGTGGATTGTGAGTAACTAAGAACGATGGAGTGGATAGTGAGTAAGTAAGAATGATGGAATGGATAGTGAGTAACTGAGAAGGTTAGGCTGAGAGCCTGCCTGAGGAATATGGATCCTATGGAATTATTGGAAATTTTAAATTTTCTGCAAAGAAGACATTGATTCATTGATTATAGTTTCTTAGTTCGTAATGCCGCGGTTTGCTCCTGCCCAGGATATATAAAAAAATTCTAAACAACGTTTTCTAACTTTTATAAATAAAATTGGATATTAGTTTTGAGAGATTTAGCTAATAATTGTATAATTATTTCAGAAAAATGAATATTGTTTAATTGTGTCTAGAATGCAGCCTGGGAGCTCTATATTTTCCGTAAACTCAAGCGGCCGGGTTTTCTATCTTGAACAGGGGAGTTCAGTATGGAAGGAATTCCAATATCTTGGAATCGAATTCAAGAAGATCGCCGCCGTCAAAAACGTCGTCTGGGCGATCGGTGGCGATCATCAGATATATGTATATGTGTACGGTGTAGAAGTGCCGATTCGAGTGAAAGAGACATTTTTCGAGAATGAGCGATGGAATCCCGTGGAGGGGTTTTGTGCCAATCTTCTACCAACGGATCGGCCGCATTTCTCCAGTATGGACGGTTACCAAGAGAAAAGTCGGGAATCCATCCATTTACCAACCATGGCCTGGGTTTGGGACGACGAATGGCACATTGAAACCCTTTTTAATGGAATGCAACTCCCTATCGGTGGATGGACTTACGCCGTCGACTTTCCGGCGGAGTATTACGACAAGAAAGGGTTTACGTCTTGTGTACGACGACGGAAGTGGATTCGATGTCGGAAATATGTCGCCATTGATTCCTGGTCAGCGGTTCCTGGATTAAATAAGGACGTTTGTGAAGAACCTTTTATTGATATTAGTGTCGGCGGATATGATATCTCCGGCGGAAACGAGTCGGAACTTATGGTCTGGGCAGTAACCGTGGCCGGGCGTATCATGGTCCGTCAGGGAGTAACGGATTCCAACCCCGAAGGTTGGGGTTGGATTCATATCCCTACTCCGACCGGAAAAGAAGTAAGTCAGCTATCGGTGGCTGCTTCCGGTCTTGTCTGGGCTGTAACTTGGCATGGTTCAGTTCTAGTACGACAAGGGATTTCTGCTCTGGATCCGACTGGTAACTCATGGTGCGAGGTTGAAGCTCCGAGACCGGAGATACCTCTTGCAATGGTCTCCGTTGGATTTTCAATCGTCTGGGGAGTTGGACGAGACGGTTCCGTCTGGTTTAGACAAGGATTTAAATCCGTAGATTCGTCCGCTAGTGATGTTCTTATTAAAGGAACGAAATGGATCAAAATGATCGGAACTGTCTCTATGATCAGCGTAGGACTAGAGGATCAAGTTTTCTCTATATCTCCGTCTTCACAGAACCAGGATATTCGATGGATTCAGATGAGAACCGGTGTTTCTCCGTCCGACCTGAGTGGTAAAACCTGGAAAACTATTACAGCTCAGGCACCTTTTCAATCCTTCCGACCTAGTCGTGGTCGAAGTGTTTCCGAGTCAAGTCAAAAATTAAGACGTTTTTCCGGGTCCTCTGAAACGCCTAGTGAAGCTTTGTCAACCCTGTCTGTAGAACCGACGGCCTCCGTTTCTAAATCAGAAGATGAACCTGACGTTTCCATGTTTAATAATTTCGGAAATAATATTATAAAATTTTCTGGTGAAATTGCGCTTGCCACGGCTGTCGGTGCCGTCACACAAGCAACCGTTGGACGAATTCCAATTGTTGGGACTGTTGTCGCCTCAGCGGCAACAAGAGCGGTCGCCCAGGAGGTCGCCAGATATTCAGCCTCTCCCGCCAAAACTGAATCTGAATCTGATCCTGATCCTGAATCTGAATCCAAGCCAGATTCTGAACCAATGCAAGTAGAATCTACTATGGACGAAAGTATGTTTGTGAGCGCCTTCGACAAATTTGACGATTCTGTTCCGGAAGTTCCAGCCGAATCTATGTCGGCTAGAGTTACATTTGACGATGACGAAAATGAGGATGGAGCAGGAGAACCACAATGGATGTGGTTGACTGGTGGCTCCTGCACGGTAAGAAATGATAAATCCTCCCCAGATTGGTTTCTTGAAACTAAACGTCCTGAACGACAAAAAACTATTGAACTTGAACCCTGGAGACAGGATATTATAGCAAGTCTAATCTCCAACAACGCGGAAACCAAAAAATATTCAAATTTTGAAGATGCCATAGAACGGAGTAGCTGGGTGAAGAAGGGATTGATTAAATTTAACCTTGGAGGCCAAGGACAAAGGTTTGAACAAGCCTACCTAGAACTAGAACAATGCGGAAGTACAGAGAATTCAGTGGATTTTGGAACCTTGTCTATATTCTCAACTAAATCTAATTTTAAGGAACACATCTCTTTGTCAGAAATAACGTGCATCTCCTTCTGTTCGGAGAAATCAACGCCCCAACTCGCCGTTTTTACTCCTAAACGAAGCAAGCTCTTGCTCCCAATACACATTAGGTTCAACTCAGAGAAGGAGATGGAGGAGTGGCATGCGGATCTTGTATCAGGTTAGTTAATTAATTGCTACTCTTTAAGCGTATATTGAATAAATAATGTGGAAGATATTGTCTTTTTTATAGTGTTTAATTCTGACAAATTCCTCAGTTGTTTCTATAGCAGAATGTGATAGTTCACTTTTACAGTAGTTCACTTTTACAGTAGATCACTTTTACAGTAGTTCACTTTTACATTTGTCCACTTTTACAGTTGTTCACTTTTACAGTAGTTCACTTTTACAGTTGTTCACTTTTACAGTTGTTCACTTTTACAGTTGTTCACTTTTACAGTAGTTCACTTTTACAGTAGTTCACTTTTACAGTAGTTCACTTTTACAGTAGTTCACTTTTGTTCACTTTTACAGTAGTTCACTTTTACAGTAGTTCACTTTTACAGTAGTTCACTTTTACAGTTGTTCACTTTTACAGTTGTTCACTTTTACAGTAGTTCACTTTTACAGTTGTTCACTTTTTTACAGTAGTTCACTTTTACAGTAGTTCACTTTTACAGTAGTTCACTTTTACATTTGTCCACTTTTACAGTTGTTCACTTTTACAGTAGTTCACTTTTACAGTTGTTCATTTTTACAGTTGTTCACTTTTACAGTAGTTCACTTTTACAGTAGTTCACTTTTACAGTTGTTCACTTTTACAGTAGTTCACTTTTACAGTATAGTTCACTTTTACAGTAGTTCTTCACTTTTACAGTAGTTCACTTTTACAGTAGTTCACTTTTACAGTTGTTCACTTTTACAATGAAAAATAATAAATTTTCAAAGTCAATATCTTTACCTCGTGATCAGACAAAGGTTTTAAGCTAACCATTGTGAAATGAACATTGAACATGCATCTGCAATCCTTTTCATGATAATTAAGATTAGAAACACCTAGCAAAACTGCAAAATGCTCAAAAATGTAACAAAATTTTGCTCCAAGCTCTTAAGGAAAACAAAACAATAACAAAAAAGCTTAAAAACTGAAATCCCAAAAATTATTTTATATCCCTTAATTCAGGGAATTCAGGGATTTAAAGCAATTATTATAAATAGACTGGACAAAATATTTATTCCATGTTAGAAAATGTTCAAAAAAAAACTAAATTTTTTAAATTTAAGAAAAGATTAAAAAGAAAAAAATGTCCATTAGTCGGAACTTTTGGGTGACTGATTATTTTTTAACAGTAAATTTTTTAACTGTGAAATTTTTTAGTATGAATATTCCAATTTTTTGCATAAACTTGATGAGCCATTCAGAAAAGGAAATTTTTGAAAATCTCAATTTTTCAACAGTTTAGGTTTGGGTATTGAGAGCAAAAGATTTTGTTCGCAGTTTGTGTTTGATATTTTGTCCCAGGGACCCTGATCCAAGGATCCTCAAATTTTTTCAAAAATGAATTACATTTTCACCATTTTTTAAGAATTCAATTGTTGTTTTTTTTTTAAATAAGTTTGATTTAAAAGTAAATTTGACAGTAAAATTAAATTTTACAAGTGTTTATTAGAAAATATGTTCAGGAATAAATGGTGTACGTGGAACTGTAGGCCGTCCCTCCTCCTCCAGTATATTCTCATTAACCAATAGAGGAGAAGTTCTAGTCTTTGATCCATCAGCAAACCTGGATACAGGACTAGATGAGAACTCAGAAGTAGGGAGTAGTTACTCACAGGTTAGTACCCCCCCGCCCCGCCCCAAAGTTCAAGTACTATTTAATATTCCACCAAAATCCTTTCAAAGTTGAGTAAATTATTTTAACAATAAAAAAATTTTCTTTTGTATTTTAAAAGCATTGAATTCTTTCTGTTTGTTCTAGGAAATTGAAGTATTTGAGAAACCTCTGCCATTGCTTGAAGGATTAACTAACGGGTTTGAACCTGGATCTTCTCTCTACGTGGAGCTACGTCTCCTGGAGTCCTGTGATACTTTTTCCTTGAACCTAATGTTGGGAAAACTAGGAATCCCCGGAGTAGACATCAGTCTTCACTTCAATCCTCGGCTTAATCTTGATCAGATAGTTCTAAATAGTTACCAGAACGGAGTCTGGGAGAACGAGGAGAAACTACCCGTCATTGTTATTATGGACGACGGTTCGGCCATTCGCGCATTTCAGAGATCTAACATTATCCAGCTCGTTATTAAAGCGCTCGCGGATAAATATGAAATATTTGTCAACGGAATGAAGTTTGGCGGGTTTAAGTACAGGCTTAGACCGGAGCACGTGACACATTTTAAAATCGGAGGAGATGTGGAGGTTAATAAAGTCGTGTACACCTCCAAATCAAGAATTTTGCCTCCGACGGACATGTACTGGAGGTCCCTTGGAGGCGGACATCTCCTCCAGGTTGAGTGTGGACCTGGAGGCGTGGTTTGGGGACTCTCTTATGATGGTACAGCCTGGGTCTACACTGGTGGATGGGGCGGAGCACATTTTAAAGGCTCCGCCTCCAGCAATCAAGGAATTTATCCAATGCAAGACCGAAAATACTTCTATATTTACGAAAATCAAAGATGGAATCCGTTAACAGGTTTCTCCGCCCACGGATTGCCCACAGACCGGTACATGTGGAGCGATAAATCTGGGAAATATTCCGCCACCAAGGAGAGCATTAAACTCCCGTCCTCCGCCTGGCAGTGGACCGGAGACTGGATTGTGGATTACCATACTCCCGGCGGAGTAGATCGGGACGGATGGCAGTTTGCTACGGATTTCCCGGCCAGCTATCATGACAAGAAAACGTTTACAGACTACGTCCGTCGACGGCGTTGGGCCCGGAGATCCCAACTTGAGACCTCTGGTCCCTGGAAACCCGTTGGATCAACTAAACTAATAGATATCTCCATCCAACCCTGGGTTGATGCCAAGAGTAAAGTAAGTGTCTGGGCAGTTGCAACCAACGGAGAAGCCCTATTACGTCAAGGAGTCAGTAAGGATATCCCGGAGGGTACAGCTTGGACTCATGTTATGAGCGATTCTCTGTTTCAAGGAGTATCTATCGGAGTGGATGGTTCGGTTTGGATGGTTAGCTCCGAGGGTCTGATATTTCTCCGTCAAGGTATATCTGATATGAGTCCCACGGGGAGATGTTGGAGTCAGGTTTCAAACCCGGATAAAACCACGGTCTTCCGAAGTGTTAGCTGTGGTAGGGTTGGATTGTGCGGTCTGGACAGCACAGGACGACTCTGGCTCCGACAAGGGATTCAACCTCAGTTTCCGGAGGGAACCTCTTGGGCTCTTGTGTCGGAGGGGGTGAAGAGCGTATCCGTCGGAGATCAATCTGATATCTGGGCGGTATTGGAGAGCCAACACGGGGTGGGTGGAGTAGTTGCAAGAAGGCGTGGTATTACTCCGGCCCGGCCCACTGGAGATGAGTGGGAGACATGTATCGGAGGTGGTTGGAAGCATATTTCTATCAGAGGTTGGACTAAGTAGATAATTTGAATATTCAGCGATTTATTTATTTCAAATCGCGCAGTACTTAATAAGAGCTTTTAATTGAATTAAATTATATTTTAAATTAAAAACCTATACAGCAGAGATACAAACAGTTGAGTTTAGCACAGTGAGCCTCCAAAAAACATGAGACATTTATTCATCGTTATGCAGTATTTATCCTTTGTTATTTAAACTTTTAAAGCAATTCTTTCATCTCTATTTTTTTTGGTACTGACTGTGTGTGTTTTATTTCTACTTAAAAATTGTGATTTAGAAATCTCAGTTCTGAAGAGTTTCAGCATTTAAAATTTTTAAACAATACTTATTTTTTGATTTTTTGATTTCTTTATTCTCGCTCTCATTGTTTAAAAAATAAAAAAATTTATTCGCAAAACTAAGAAAATTTTTTTGTCCTTTTAAAGTTTATGAAAATTGCAACCCCAAATCTAAAATAAAACATTTTTTTATTGTTACATTTATTATGTATCTTGTTTATCACGGTCATTATCTGTAATGTATTTTAAATCTACTTGAAGATTATTTTATTTGGAGTTTAAAATTTCTGCATCTAAGATTTTAATCAAATCAATGCAAGGGTTATATATTTCCCCAATGTTTTCCCAGTTCTCTTCTAAAAAAATTGTTAGCTATGTTTAAAAAGAAAAACTTAACTTTATCTGATTTTCTAATCCAAAACTGTTTTCCTGTTCTCTTCCTTATATAAATATTATAGTTTTATATGTACTGATTTATTAATTAATTGTCAATTTAGCATTTATCAACATACTCTTAATGTCATTTATGTAAAACGATCGTTTTTTACGTTAGTTTTTGTATCGTTACAATTATTTTTCATTTTAACGTTCAAGGCATATTCTGAACTTAGATTTTTTATAGTAACGTTCAATGTATGTGTGCACGTTTCTTTGTAACGTTCTCAACGTTCCTAATATTTCCAGATAAAAATGAAGGACAAGAAGGGACAAGAAGAAATAATCGCAGGGTTCCAGTCGCTGAGGAACGAGCAACGGTCTGTTGCTGCTAAAATTAACGAGCTCCAGCAAGATCTGAACGAACACAAGATCGTTATTGAAACTCTTGAAGGCGTAGATGGAGATAGAAAATGTTTCAGGTAAAACTAGATTTATTAAACATTTGTTTGGCCCAATTGGCTGACAGAATGAATCATACCGGTGTCATGGCTTGAATTCGAGTCGGACTTTAGGCTTTAATTATGTCAGCCTGAAAAGCCTTGACCTAGAAGTGGTTGTGAAGGCTTACCCCCCATAGGTCAGGGAGCTATATGACACCCCCTTGCACTCTTCATTTACATTCGATTCACAACGGTATCTTTAAAGGTTTGTAAAAACAAGAACAAAGAAGAGTTCCATGTTTTTAACTGTTAAGTTCATCATTTCAAATCAAAAATAAGTGGCTTGCAGACTTTAGCTTACAGAAACAACAGAGTTACTTGTAAGAATAAAACACTTTTAAAAACTAGAAGAAAACGACAATATCTTCAACATAGTGGATCAGTTAAAGCTTTTAAGCTTACCGTTGTAAATCAGATATGCCACTTTTCAGTCCCTTCTACTTGAAATATAAATTATTATTATTATTTTTATGATTATTATTATTATTATTATTATTATTATTATTATTATTTAGAATGGTTGGTGGTGTGCTTGTAGAGAGGACAGTGAAGGATGTTGTTCCTGCACTTGTAAACAACAGGTACAGTACACCTACACTACTTTAGTACGCTGAATGTTTCGTTGAATGGTTGGATAGTTGATTGGTTGAAGGGTTGGTTTGTTAGATAATTTGTTGGTTGGTTGAATGATTGGTTGAATGATTGGTTGAATGATTGGTTGAATGATTGGTTGAATGATTGGTTGATTGAATGGTTGATTGATTGGTTGATTGATTGGTTGAATGATCGGTTGAATGATTGGTTGAATGATTGGTTAAATGATGGGTGGAATGATGGGTCGAATGATGGGTCGAATGATGGGTCGAATGATGGGTCGAATGATTGGTTAAATGATTGGTTGAATGTTTGGTTGAATGATTGGTTGAATGATTGGTCGAATGATTGGTTGAATGATTGGTTGAATGATTGGTTGAATGATGGGTCGAATGATTGGTTGAATGATGGGTTGAATGATGGGTCGAATGATTGATTGAATGATTGGTTGAATGATTGGTTGAATAATTGGTTGAATGATTGGTTAAATGATTGGTTAACTGATTGGGTGGAGGGCTAGTTGATTGGGTGATTGGTTGATTGATGGAAAAAGTTACTGGTTGGTTGATTGATTGATTGCTCGTTAATTTGATTGGTTCATTTGATTATTTTATACTTATATTGATTTTTTATCTGACTGATGGAAGGATGGATGGATTTATTGATTTTATGGACCGATTGTTTGATTATATTATGGATTGGTTGGTTGCTTGATTGATTGATTGATTGATTGATTGATTGATTGATTGAATTAGTATAATCCAGGGATAAGCTGGGTAAGCTAGTAGAGAGTTTAAACACCCAACTGACGGATAAGGGAGCTGAGATTAATGGGTATATGGAGAAACATCAGATTCAAATAAGGGGACAAGGACAAGAAGGGAAAAAGGTAAGAAAAAGTACTTACAACGGAGAAGAAACCGAGTTTTCCTGATTATATATTTGAGGCAAATCGGTCGGTTCATGTGTTATGCTCGGATAAACAAACAAACTTTGTATGGAAAAATAATTATTATATATATTTATTTTATTTCAGGAGGAGAAGGATGGAGATGTCAAATCTGGAGGAGTTTTGGTCTCTCAACAATCCAACTAATCATTAATAATTTACATATTTTTTACTTTTCATGCTTTAACAACTTAACAATTAATAATTGCAGAAAGAATGATAGAATCGGCTGGAGTGGGCGGCCAGGGGTCCGGGAAGGAGGCTCACCATCTCGTCTTGAACGAGGAGGATCTCGCCTACGAGGAGGAGATACTCAGGAACCCGAACATGATTAAGCCCTGGATCCGGTATATCGAACACAAGGCGGATTCTCCGAGAAATATCTTAAACCTGGTGTTTGAGAGAGCACTCAAGGAACTCCCAGGGAGTTATAAACTATGGTATAATTATCTAAAGGTGAATTATACATTTTTTCATGATAAAGCCATTTACAGAGCGTCCCATATCATATTGGATTATCTTCAAGCTTTAAAGCCAAAATACTCGCATAATACTCGAAAAACCTACTATTTTCTTCATGGTTATTTTTATATTTATAGCCTTTACAATTTTTTAAATGATCATTCTTTTTCAAACCTCTGATTAGTCCCGAAAATCGCAATTTAATGTTAAAAACAATCTAATATGATGACACCATGTAAAAAGATAATATCCTTGTAACTCTTTTTTGTAATTTTCGTAAATCAGCGAGTTAATTTCAGAACAATCTGAAAGTTCAGATTATTGAAGCATTTTTCTCACATTTTCCCCCAAAGTTTTTTTTGTGATTTTACTCACTGGATTAAGTGAAAATAAATGATTTATACGAAAAATAAATGAATTTTTGGGTATTACGTACAGGGTGTCCCACGAAACATGACAGTTGGTAAATAGTTTTCACTATATAGATATTAAATGCTGTTGCAGTTTAGTTCGTTTAAAAAATCTTTTGCTCAAATATATTTTACGTTGAAGTTTATTTTATTATAATATGACTCCTTTATAATAGTTTTATTTTTGTCTTTGGTATTAAACAACTTCTTCCAAAATCATGAAAATTCTTGAAAATATCTTGAAAATGAGAGTATATAGTTAGATTTATACAAAAATATGCGCCATTGCAACTGGACGACTTTAGAAAGAGATATTTGATCCTATCTATTCTCTAGGTGCGCAGGAAACAGATCAAGGGTCGGTATTTGATCCTATTTATTCTCTAGATGCGCAGGAAACAGATCAAGGGTCGGTATTTAATCCTATCTATTCTCTAGGTGCGCAGGAAACAGATCAAGGGTCGGTGTTTGATCCTATTTATTCTCTAGGTGCGCAGGAAACAGATCAAGGGTCGGTATTTGATCCTATCTATTCTCTAGGTGCGCAGGAAGCAGATCAAGGGGCGGTGCATCACAGATCCAGGATACGACGAGGTCAACAACTGCTTCGAGAGAAGCCTCGTCTTTATGCACAAGATGCCGAGGGTGTGGGTGGACTACTGTAAGTTTCTCACCAAGCAGCAGAAGATAACGCGGACAAGACGAGTATTTGACAGAGCACTAAGAGCTCTCCCTCCAACCCAACATGACAGGTCAATATTTTTACCATCCGGGTTTTAAATTCCGCAACTTTTTTTAAGTTAAATCCGGGTTCAAGTAGTTTAAAATCAAATAAATACTAAAGAAAAATGATTAATATGACTAATTTGGAAAGTTATAATATGTCTTATGTCATTTTTAGTGGCAGTACAATTGTATATTGGTTGTTTGTAAATAAACGCAACCGAAACATGAAATCGAACCCAGTATTTACAGAATTAAAAGCTTAAACATTCATATGAAGTTGTCCGAATCTGGTGAAAAATTCGAAAACCTAAGCTAATAGCACAGTACTAGTACTTTCTTCAGATAAATTTTTTAAAATAAATTATTTCATTATTAGATTTAAAAATCTGGAGATGTATGCATTACAATGTAGTTTTTAGCAACGTTGTGTCGCCTTTTCTGAAAAAACTAAACAAAAAATGTTGAAAAAATTCGCCAAAAAAAAGTTTATATAAATAGTTTAGTGTAAAAACGAATAGTGTGTGTCCCCCCCCCCTCTCCAACTCCCTCCTCTTTGCCTGGGCTACTTCCCCCCCCCCTCTCATGTTGAAACTGTAAATTATTGTTTCGGCATAATCCTAATAAAATGAATGTAAACAGTTTTTAGCCACCGAAACCGAGTTCATATTGTATTTCAGAATAAATTTGTGTAGACTAAATAAATTCTCTCATGGCCACCGTTGATTTAGAAAACCTAAAACTCTTTTTATATGTATCTATGACGATTCCGAGGTTGAATTAAGTCTCCTGGCTTAAATTTAGCCTTTTATGATAATTTTATTGATTTGGATAAGAAAGAAACAAGTTTAAAGTTGCAGGGGGATTATAAATATAAAGAAACATTATAAATTCCGTACAGTCGTCTTTGTGGGTAACCCTGTTTGTCCCCCATATTGACCATATATTAAAGATATTTATTAGTTGAAAAAGTTGAAGCAAAAAAGGAAATGGTGAAAAAATGGGAAAAGATAATTATTTCACAGAACGGATTCTGGATCCGCATTAACATATACATTATACATGGCTTTTATATCGCTAGTGAGTGGTGGTAGCTTTCTTATGGATATAATCTTTTCGTTTTGGGGTTTCAAGTTTTCTGTTGAAAAATAAAAAGCTATCTTTTTAGGAATACAACGTTTTAAACTCGCAAAAAAGCGTATTAATTTTTTCTCTTCAAACCCTATTTTATTTTACCAGTAGTTAGGAATGTATATTAAAAGGGGAAAATGAATGTTTTTTTTGGGGGTAAAAAGTTGCACAAAGTTTAAAATTTTCAAGCTGAATTTGAATCTTCGAAATCCTAATTTTAATAGTGGTTTAGTTTATAATGGCTCACTTTTTAAACCTTTTTTCTTTTATTACAACTAACCTTTCTCCTTATAAATTTTCTTATATTCCAATGACGCTTGAGACACCAAAAAATCTTGGAAAATCATCTTAGGAAAGTTATTTGAGAAAATGAAGTCTAACTTTTTTCGGAGGAGAAATGGAGTTTTTTAACTGATATTTGATGAGCCCGTTGTTAGCCATGATAAGTCAGGAGCTGCAAACCATAGCAGTGTTGAATGTGATGTTTTGTTTTATCCAATCCTGTCCTTTTAGGATTTTGTCCTATTAACTATACGTTTTAAGTATTAGTTTTTTAATATCAATAAATGCTTTTTTTTGGGTAAAAATTTGCACAAAGTTTAAAATTTTCTAGCTGAATTTCAATCTTCGAAATCGTACTTTTAAAAAGGTTAAAAATTTACTTCCAAAAATATTTTTATGTTCATAATTAAAAAATCTGAAAAAATGGTTTTACACATTTTACACATTTTACACATTTTTTTGTTGTTGCAGGATTTGGCCTCTGTACATAAAGTTTGTCCGAGCGTATCCGATCCCGGAAACTGCAATCAGAGTATTCAGAAGATATCTCCAGATGTTCCCGGAGAACAGCGAGGACTACATCCTCTACCTCATCGACATCGACCGCTTGGACGAGGCCAGTCAGGTCCTGGCACGCTGCGTTAATAATGACGATTTCGTGTCGAAGAAAGGCAAGTCTAATCATCAACTGTGGAATGAGCTGTGCGACATGATTTCTAAGAACCCGACCAAGATTCAGAGTTTAAACGTTGACGCCATTATTAGAAGCGGACTCAGACGATACACGGACCAGGTACAAATATACATTATTTAATTTTCATTTAAAATAAGAGCTTTCCCGATTTAATAAGGTACCTTTTGAACCATTATCTGATCAATAACCACACTACTGAAAATGAACCATCAGGATTCAAGTCAAAACACCTAATTTTTTTTTCGGAATATATTAATATGCAGGCTTCTGAGTTATAATCTAAAGGGGGGGGGGCATAACACGTATTACTCTCTGGGAAATTTAAACAGTGTATAAACATAACTTAGCATTGTCCTAGGAGGCTGATTTTTTGCATGCGAGCTTAAAATTATGTATATTACATGCATTTTTTGGTTTTGAACGGATCTGAGCAAAAGTGCGCGCGCACGCGCGCTTTTTGTTAAAAAATACGACTTTTTTGACGGTAAATAAATCTTAGCTTCATTATTTGCACTTGAACATTTATCCTTGAAAAAAACATTTACTCTTGAAAAAAATATGCGCTCAAAAAATTCACCTCCAAAGCCTTAAATGTCCGCGCGCGCGCGCAATAAAAGAAAATATCTTTGAATACTGATTTGCTAAGTTTTGCCTAAGTCAGAATAAAAGTAGCATGAGATACATCAAAATCAAAAGTCGTATTTTTTCACAAAAAGCGCGTGTGCGCGCGCGCGCACTTTTGCTCAGGTCCGTTCAAAACCAAAAATTGCATGTAATATACATAATTTTAAGCTCGCATGCAAAAAATCAGCCTCCTAGGACAATGCTAAGCTATGTTTATACACTGTTTAAATTTCCCGGAGAGTAATACGTGTTATGCCCCCCCCCCCCATTTTTAAGATTTCAGTAAATCCATTTTAAGGAAGTTGTAGAAATTAAGTGCATTTTTAAGTCTAAACTCAATCGTAACTGTTAATGCACTTGATTTCTACAATTTCTTAATTAAATTTATTTGCTCAAAATTCCCTAGGTGGCATTTTCTGAAAATTGAGAATATAACTCAGTAGCCTGCATATAAACATAATCCAAAGAAAAGTTGAGGTGTTTTGACTTGAAACCTGATGGTTCGTTTTCAGCAGTGTGTAACGTGCAAGATATGGTCGTTTCTTCTCAACCTTTCTCAAAGTGCTTAATTCTGACAACTAAATTCATTGTTTCTGCAAACAGATAAAGATCGTTCTGTTGTGAATCAGACATGACATTCTAAAAAAATGGGTCACTTGAATTTACTATTAGTCTTTTTAATATGGTTTTATAAGAACAATATATTTATGGATTAAGGAGATTGCAATATGAATTCTGTTTTTCTACGTTCTGAATATTGTTTTATAAGATGAATATATTTATGGATTAAGGAGATTGCAATATGAATTCTGTTTTTCTACGTTCTGAATATTGTTCTGACTTCTTCAAAATCTCAAGTCAAATTGGAAATATGTTTATGTTTCAGTTTCAAATCTCCTTTTCTATCTTTAACAATCAACTTTATTCAAATTTTGTTGTTATTTTCTTTTCCCTTGTCCACTCCGCCCTCATGTTTTGTTTCCTGTTAAAATAATTAATTCAATATATTGTATTTTTTTATTGTTACAACCTTGCGAAAACCTTTTTGCCAATAAGTACAATTTACAATTTATATTTGTAGGTTGGGCATCTGTGGAATTCTCTTGCTGATTACTATATTAGAAGTGGATTATTTGAGAGAGCCAGAGATGTTTATGAAGAGAGTATTCAAACTGTAACCACGGTCAGAGATTTTACTCAGGTAACCACGGTCAGAGATTTTACTCAGGTAACCACGGTCAGGGATTTTACTTAAGTAACCACGGTCAGAAATTTTACGTCCCTTTTTTTATGTCCCTTATTTTTAATCTTGATTCACTGGATATTCGTAATTATTGAATATAATATACTCTGTATATTAATGTGATATATGCAATATATGAATATCATGACAACAATCGGAAATGTTCTTATATACTCCGCCAGGAGTCCTGAAAATAATCCTAACATAAACATAAAAAAAGTAGCCACGGTCAGAGATTTTACAGAGGTAACCACGATCGGAGATCTTACTCAGGTAATCACGGTCAGAGATTTTACTCAGGTAACCACGGTCAGAGATTTTACTCAGGTAACCACGGTCAGAGATTTTACTCAGTTAACCACGGTCAGAGATTTTCTTAGGTAACCACGGTCAGAGATTTTACTTTGATGCGTATGCACAGTTTGAGGAGCTGCATAACTTATCCGCCTTGTCTAGGTGTTTGATGCGTATGCACAGTTTGAGGAGCTGATTAACTTATCCTCCTTGTCTAGGTGTTTGATGCGTATGCACAGTTTGAGGAGCTGATTAACTTATCCTCCTTGTCTAGGTGTTTGATGCGTATGCACAGTTTGAGGAGCTGGCATTAACTTTTTCTCCTTGTCTAGATGTTTGATGGGTATGCACAGTTTGAGGAGCTGGCATTAAATTTTTCTCCTTGTCTAGGGGTTTGATGCGTATGCACAGTTTGAGGAGCTGAATAACTTATCCTCATTGTCTAGGTGTTTGATGCGTATGCGCAGTTTGAGGAGCTGGCATTAACTTTTTCTCCTTGTCTAGGTGTTTGATGCGTATGCACAGTTTGAGGAGATGCATAACTTATCCTCCTTGTCTAGGTGTTTGATGCGTATGCGCAGTTTGAGGAGCTTGCATTAACTTTTACTCCTTGTCTAGGTGTTTGATGCGTATGCACAGTTTGAGGAGCTGGCATTAACTAATCTTCCTTGTCTAGGTGTTTGATGCGTATGCACAGTTTGAGGAGCTGGCTCTGTCTAAGAAGATGGAGGAGATTGCTGAGAGTGAGAGTCCTGGTGACGAGGATGAGGTGGAGGTAGAACTCAGGATGGCAAGGTGAGATACAGTTAATATCCTCGTACAACACTAGGGGTGTATATTTTCGTGAAAAGCATCTTCCCTAGACTCATTTTGAAAATAATTTCCCCCCGATGATTGGTAGTCCTACGATGAATAGGGTTGTGTTTAACGAAGTTAATTTTAAAGAAGTTTATTCAACTTGCTTTCTTTTTGTCTTTAAAGTTTTGAATACTACTTCTTTAGTGTTATTTTAGATTTCTTGGCTGCGCCCATTTACCATTTCTATTGTAAACATGTTCTCTTTGTGTATATTGTAAAACAAAAACAAACAAAAATTTCGTGGATTTAAAAAAAAATTTCGTGGATTTTTAAAATGTTCAAAAATCGAATTTTGATGGAGGCAAATTTTTGAAAATTAGATCATCCATAAACCTTCCCTGGGTCACGCGAGGTCCTACAAAAATTTTTGGCCCAATGGGTTCATCCTTATTGACGTATATTGGATACAAACGGACAGACAGACAGACAAGCAACTTATGTATATAGATTAGATAATTATCATTATTATTATTATTTTTATTTTTATTAATTTGTCATATCATTATTATTATTATTTTTTACTATTGTTCTAAACATTGTTTAAATAAATCGAATTTTTTTATCATTTTCATAACACCATTCATTGATCATATAGTTATTTTATTATCATAATTATCATCATTTTTATTATTATTATCATCATTATTATAATGTCAAATGTTATAATTATGTTTATTAACTTTCTTATTATGTTAGGTTTGAAGATTTGATGGACCGAAGACCTCTCCTCCTGAACTCCGTCCTGCTCCGCCAGAACCCGCACAACGTGGTAGAGTGGCAGAAGCGTGTGACCCTACTGGAGGGGAAACCCAGGGAGATCGTCAACACCTACACCGAGGCGGTGCAGACTGTTGACCCCAAGCAGGCCGTAGGCAAGCTCTTCACCCTTTGGGTCAACTTTGCTAAGTTCTACGAGACGAACAAGCAGATCAATGATTCCCGGATTATATTTGAGAAAGCTACGCATGTTGCGTACTTGAAGGTTGATGAGCTGGGCAGCGTCTGGTGTGAATGGGTTGAGATGGAGCTGCGTCATAATCATCATGAAGAAGCTTTGAAGCTGCTACAGCGGGCAACTGCTCCGCCCCCCCGGTATTATTATTTAAAGGGACTGTATCATCAAGTTACAGAGTGGCATGAGTGATTCACAACGGTACCATCAAACCGCCTATGTCTGAATGAATGAGATATTCTTATTTTTTTCTTTAAAAATTGATTATTCTTAGCTAATGGTATTTCTATAAGCAGACTTTCGAGTTTCTGCTTTAGAAAATTGTTAAAATTTAAGGTTTTTTTTAATCTAGAAATTAATGAGATATCCATTATTTTCTATTTGAAAATTGATTATTTTTAGTTGTGGTATCTTTATAATCAGACTTTCGAATTTCTGCTTAATTGTCCGAGTTAAAACACTTAAAGCTAGAAAAAAACAACGATATCTTTCACATCACTGATAATGGTTAAAATGGTACTGTGGTGAGTCGGACATGCCCCTCTTTTTTTTAAAGGAGGGGCACTTGATATCAAAACGACTGTCGCTTTAATATCGTTTGTATGTTAATTTTTAATTAGAAGACTGATAATATTACATATCTATAAATAGCAGTTTTTATCCAACATTAAAGTTTATAAATTAATCGCACATAAATAAGTATGATGTTTAGTTATTATCAGTACTTTTTCTAATTTTACAATAAAAATTAGGGGTATCTTATTTTAAAAAACCAGTTTATAGATTAGTCACTCTATTTTCTTCCGTTATAAATAACTGATTATTTTTATCTCCTCTTTTAAAAACAATTTTATAAACTTCCAAAATGAAAGTTTTGGTGATATTTCTTTCTTTAAAAAAAATGTTTTTGTTCAGGCGTGTTTCCTATCACGACGATGCTGAGACTGTTCAGATGCGTCTCCATAAATCCCTCAAGATCTGGTCTCTATACGCAGATCTAGAAGAGAGCTTTGGCACCTTCAAGTCCGCCAAGGCAGTCTACGATCGTATCTTGGATCTCAAGATCGCCACCCCGCAGATCATCATCAACTACGGTCTGTTCCTCAAGGAGAACAACTATTTCGAGGAGGCCTTCAAGGCTTACGAGAAAGGAATCTCTCTGTTTAAATGGCCGAATGTTTATGATATTTGGAACACGTATCTCTCCGAGTTCTTGGCGCGCTACGGCGGTACTAAACTGGAACGTATTAGGGATCTGTTTGAGCAGTGCCTGGACGGATGCCCGGAGAAGTACGCGAAGAACATATACCTACTGTACGCCAAGCTGGAAGAGGAGCACGGAATGGCCAGACACTCCATGGCCGTCTACGACAGGGCCGTTGCCGCCGTCGAGAAGAAAGAAACGTTTGAAGTTTTCAATATTTATCTTCGTAAAGTTGCAGAAATCTACGGAGTCACCAGAACCCGGCAAATCTACGAAAAAGCGATTGAGGTTCTTGGAGAGACAGAGTCTAGGGAAATGTGTGTTCGGTTTGCGGAGATGGAAACCAAACTTGGAGAGATCGATCGAGCTCGCGCGATTTACGGACATTGCAGCCAGATGTGCGATCCTCGCGTCGCGCCTGAATTCTGGCAAACCTGGAAGGACTTTGAGGTAAAGCACGGTAATGAGGACACGTTGAGAGAAATGTTGAGAATCAAGAGAAGCGTCCAGGCGACCTTCAACACTCAGGTTAACATGATGGCTAGCGCTATGATGCAGAGCAGTGGAACGGGAACAGTATCAGACCTTGCTCCGGGTCTAACACTAGGACTGAAGGATGATATGTGGAGATTGGAAGCTAAGGGTATGGAGAGTGATATCAAGGCTGGAGAGGGAGCAGCCGCGGCCAAGCCCAACATTATGTTCGTCCGCGGAGAAACTCAGAGCAAGGCCGTTGAGGAAACCCAAGCGGCGGCCAATCCGGACGAAATTGACATCGACAGCGAGGAGGAGGAAGAAGAGGAAGAGGAGGAAGGGGAGGGAGAGAAGGAGAAGGTTGAGAGACCTGTTGGAGGAGTTGAAAAGATGGATGTTCCCGACAAAGTATTTGGGGGATTGAAAAAGAACGATTAATCTAAGTTTCTGACATTTTATCAAATAAAAAATTTTTGATAATAAACTTGTTATTCTAAAATTGACTGTTATAAACATTTCCCGAACCCAGAAGAAAATTTTTCTCATCCTAATGTAAAATGTATGATGATAAAATGTACCATGCATTGTACGTAAAACAATTTGCTCATATATACAGGTGTCCCAAATCATCATAGTCGATCTGTTTATAGCTATAAATTGAGATAAGGGTTGAAATAGAAATTTTTTCTAAATGAATCATTTAAAAACAATTTAAAGTCTAATATAACCTTTTTTGGGGCAGAAAATACTAGGTTTTTCGAGTATATTAGCGTATTTTGGCGTTAAATCTTGGAGATAATCTAATACGATACGGGACGCTCTATATTATTTCTTATATATATATATATATACATATATATATATATATCATTGTTTCAAGGGGGAGGGGTGTTTAGTCCCTACTCCAATAGCTCATTAGCCCCCCATACCAGTAGACGCCCCCGGGAGATGACATTCGTAATTTCTATCAGATTCTGTCATGATCGTGAAGTTCAAATTACAAAATATCTTTATAATTTATTTCATAAAATTTTCATAATGTTTATTAGGAGAGTGTCTTACATTCTATAAAGGGTTATGTAATAATATATTTAAAAGAAAGCTGTCTAAAGTGGCCATTTTATAGCTTTCTTCTTAACAATTCTCATGATTTCATGGTCGACTCTATAAGGATCTAAATTCTTAAAATTTATTCTTAATTTTGTATTTATTTTCAAATTTAGATTCCGTCTTTAAAACACAGATAAAAAGATAAATTTGATAAAAATGGGATTGTTACGTAGTGCAAGATTGTATGAATTGTCGCGTAGTGCTGGATTTAGGTAAACAGCTGATATTACACAACCTTAAAACCTTTCCAGTTACACAGAGACGCGTTCTTAGTGAAACAGTAAATAAAATAGTTGCTCATCTCAGCCTCAGTTTAAGGAAACCAGCTAAAGATTTGAGATCCTTAAAGGTCAGTGGACGATCATCAAATTATTAAAAAGTAATCTAAGTGTTATATATGGGCTAGTTTCTGAATTTCTGTTAATTTCAGATATAAAATGAGCGTTAATGTTGTAAGACAGAGTGCTAAGCTCTGCTCAACCATCAGCCCAGTAAGTTTATTATATTTTTCTAACTTAACGATCTGTAGACCCAATTTGATAATCCATCTAGAGCTCCTGCTTCAATCGTTCTCTAGGACGGACCATAAGAAGCTGCTATTTTCCCAATATTCTCTCTTAAAACGGTTGAATAAAACAAGTCACTCTTAAAACAGGGGTTACTTAATGTTTCGTCTTAAGTACTCTACATTTTACCCTATGCCAGAATCTGTAGCATTATGTTTATGAATTTGGTAACGAACGATTTTTGGACCCCCTCCCCCCTCCTGTCAATTTTGTTCGTGGATCTTATTTGTTAGACATGGATATAATTGACCATGTGGCCGCAGCGCTCGGCCCCCTAGCCTGTCCTAGCCGCAGCGCTCGGCCCAGAAAGTGTCATAACCTAACCTAACCCTAAATTAAAATCGTTCACTAGGACGGACCCATGAATTTTGTATAATATTTGTTACGACGCATATTGATGTTTAAAGAGTATAATTGAAATATTACGACAAACGGCATGTATAATTATTGATATATTACGACGCAGGTTAGTTTTGAAGAGAATTGAACAACGTAAATATTTATGACATTGACTAATCCTTAAGAATTATTAACGTGAACCCCCCTCCCTACCCCCCAAATATATATACACTGCTATTAGATATAAACAATAATAAAAAGTAGAAGGGGGGGGGGT